TTAGTAGTTGAGCGGGCCGCAGACTCGAAACTCTGTTTAGCGAAAACGCTCGCAAAGCCACCGCAAACACAGCAAAAGCAAAGCCAGTCGACGTCGCCGATCCGGACGAACTTACCGCCAAACGAAGATCGCTGCCACATCTTCCTCAATTCCCAAAGAAGTCCGAAGACAGGCCAACATCCAAAAGCAGCAGCAAAGCCAAGCAAAAGCAGATTGTCTTTGCAACCGGTCCAGCGATCAGCTGTTCGCTGCGATCCAGAGAGGGGCGGAAAAGACCGAAGACAAGAGCACAAATCTTCGGGCTCCGAAGAATTTAACAGAGCCCCATCGGCTAGGAAAGCTTAACATTTCTGTTAAGAAAACGTATCTCTTACGCTCGAAATAGCTATCTTAGGTATTTAATCAGTGTATATGAAGTGAAAATAAGAAAAGCCTATTCAGAAAATGTATCTGTAACGTTCGTAATAGCTATCACCGTATATGAAGTGCGATATTTTAGTTATAGTTGTTTTTTGTACGCATAATATTTTATTAAAATTGTATTATATCATAAACATATCTAATCAACATTTTGTGTAACTTACAAAGGTAAAGGCATTCTTTAAATATTGTAAATATTCACTAAACGTTGATCAAAATAATAATAACCAGGCCTTAATAAGTCTAATAAAATAGGACACTCAGTTTACCTCAGGTTTAATTAAAGTGCTTATAAAAAATGTTTGGGATAATAATAATTTTAATTGCCCAGCAAATCAAGTCTTTAAAATTTCAATTATTTCTACTTTAGATCATTAAAACAATGGTCATAAAAATTTTATAAAAAAAATGAATGTTTTAACAAATTTTTTAGAAACAAATTATTACATTTTTTGTCAATCATTACTTTAATTATTACCTATACGTAATATTCGCACGCCTTTTAATCGGATGTCAGCAAAAAGGATTAACGTCCTTTGCATTATTTGCCATAAATTGCATTAAATGCTGGGCACATTCAATCGAAATCGATTTCAGTCAATCAGCAAGATGACAGTTTGGAAATCCATCAGCCTTTAATGAGGAAGGGGAAGCACTTGTAGGGTTTTCGGACTGGAAGCAGGGGTCTGGGGTGGGTCGGTGGATCGGTGGATCGTCGGTCGATGGCTCGATCGCTCATGGAAGGCATAACAAACAAAATCGCAAATTAAAGATTCGAAATGCTCGCAGTGACGACTTTTTGACTTGAGGCGTTTCTTGTTTCTTGCCTTGTTTCTCGACTTCTATTTTCTTGCTATCCAATCTTGCCAGACAATGGAGCAAAAGGGAAGACAGCTGAAGAGTTGACAGTGGACAGTTTTTATTATGATTTTGGGGCAGCCTCTTTGGGCCCAGCAACTCCTGGTTGCATAACATCGCTATTTGATTTTCGCTTGGTTTATCTGCGTCTCTTTGGCTCGGCAGCGAGGTCTTCTTCCTTCTGCACACGAAGGCAGGGGCAGATGCAGATGCCGATTCATTGCGCCTGCGATTATGGATTCGGTGTAGCGAAAATGCTCAAATAATGGCAGCCGCAAATGTTCCCACGAATCCCCAGCCATGGGGCATCGCGCAGACGGCAGTAGCTATCCAGCATTGGATCATCGCCAATTGCTGGCGGTTCATGTAAAATTAACATTGGATTCTATTCAAAATCAGAAGTGACGGTCGTAATCACCCGCCAGTTGGCGCTTCTGCCTTTTGCCTGCTTAACGTGACTTTAATAGCGAGTTGGTTCTGGCTCTTAACTGGTTGGTGTAGTTCCTTCCATTAAAAGATATTGACAATGTTTTGCTGTCTGCCCCATGCAAATGACATTGAGTTTGTGACTTTTCTCATTAAGAATGGCGAAGCGGGCTGCATGCAATTATAATGAATTGCTCAACTGATAACTGGCAAGCGATTAACCAGCACTAAAAAGTTTATTAGATGCTCCTAATAAGACCTTAATTTTCTGCGAATATTATTGTCGTACAAATAGTCAAAAAAAAACCTGTTTATTTTTTAATAATGTTCAAGGAACATAAAAATATAGTAATTATTTCTTGAAAAAGTGTTACAAAGGCAGACGCCAAGAATAATCAGCAGTCCAATACATTTAATACATGTAAAATACACTTAGACTGACTTGGTTTCAAGGACTCAACCTTTGACCGAATAGAGCTAAATAAATTGTTAAAACAAACTCATTGACAAAACGAATTAATTGCCAAATAAACAGGGAGCACAATGAAATACACAAATTTAAGCACTCCCTTAGTGAAACTGTGAACATTGGGCAATAACCTTAAAAGGTCGTTTTCCGTTTGTTGAAAAGTAATTCAGCAAATTCGGTGGGTAAAGCCGAGAGGTCGGGCAAAGTGTCAAATCATTGTAGAAGTATCTAAGAAGGCATCTAGCCTATATTTAACCCCAAACTATCCATCACAGAAGCATGGATGGTGGGCCCTCATGCAATCGCGGCGTTGCCTTTGCCTTTTGTGAATTGAAAAACCATTTAACTCCCGTTAATTTTAACGCCCGTTTTCTATGCCAACCCAGTTAGATTGCCACACAGTCGCCGAGCCGAAAACAAAAGCGAGAAGCAGCCGAAATACGTAATGCAAGCGATAATTATTGCCTACAGGCCCCCAAAAACGTCTCCGGACAACTACCAAAAAGAAGCCCCCATCCCAAAAAATAAAAAAATAAAACAGAAGCCACCGTGGCCTAGTCGTGTAGATGATTGAAAAGCGAAGAAGATTTGCATAGAAACGTGCGATTTTCGCCATGGCTAGGGGCCCCGATCGTCTCGGTCGCAGTCATGCTGGGCCACCAAAAGTATCTGGTGGATATATCTACTCCGGGTGAAACACCCACACGCGGCACTGTGTCAACGTGCTCGCCAGCCTGAGAACAATACTCGCTGCCTTCAATTACTCATCCATTCATGCCGTCATTCATTCAGCTTTCGGCTAGAGCCCCAAAGCCTCCTTTTTTCTTACCCGGTGCAGCAGCCACAATTTGTTGAATTAATTGTTCACTTTTTTGATATCTAGGCGCGGCATTGGTTTTTTCTTTGTTTATTTTGGCCACATTCTTGGCCCTTTTCATGTGAGAGAGTCGCTGAAATTATGTTATATGTTTTTGTCGAGGCTGATTTTCAAAGTTTCTCGGACTCGACCCACATTTGTCAAGATCAATGTTGGAAATAACACTATGATTAATGTTCATAGGTTATATTTTTCGGTAGCTTTGATAAATGTTTTAATTTTACTGCATTTTATTTCACATATTTTTTAAATAATCTTCTTGATTCGAAGTCCTTCAAAGGTTCTCAGACTTTCTTAGCACCCCGGAGGTCAGAAAAAAATATGGAAATAAATCAAAATATAGTAAGCTATATTGTTTTAGTTCCAAATTGATGTTGATACCTTTTTAGTAAAGACAGCTAATGAATTATTTTTTCTTTCATTTATTAATTCATTTAAGAATACCTTCATTAATAATCAACATAAAAGAAATAAACATTAAACAATAAAAATTGTCACATCTGAAATATCGACGACAGCCGCAAAATCACTGAATTCGAAAGCACTTAATGACATCAATTTATGTTTCTTATAAAACATCTAAAAGACTCAATCTGTTGTTTAAGCCACAAATAAATTAAAGTGAATCAGCTTATACAATAAGGTTAGTTAACCAACCTGTTGGATAGAACTCCACATTTACCCGTATAAAGTGCATCATCCACCCGGAATGTTAGCCAAACCAGATAAGCTGGTGAAAAGCGATGTTAATGCCTGAAATCTAACATCCGAGCTTGTCAGTGCTTTTGGTGCACCATTTATCCGCTCTGACAGATGAACAAACGAAAGTGATATCTTAGCATTCGAACCCAGTGAACAATTGTGTGCTAATGATGAAAGACAAGCGGGTCGGCCACCAAAGAAGCGAAGCATGGGTACTTATTGCCTTGGCTGTGTCAAAGTGCCGGACTGGGTTGTAATATGGTCACGGCTTGCCGTGGATTGCAGCCAGATGCAAATGACACAGAAAAAATTTGATATTTTTTATTGAGCATTTTACAAACGGCACAACAAACCGCAGGGCATGACCTCCGACCGTGCAGAGCTCCAGCCACGAAACCCGACTACGACGAAGACGGAGTCTTCCAAAAGGAATCACGATGGGGCCGTTTTTGTGCATTAAAATGCAACTGAGATTTATGTAAGCCGCGGCCAAAAGTTGGCGAGCTGGTAGCACAGGAACCCCTCATTATCGATCGATATAAGCGGCCAGCCGAGACAGTCGATGAGAGACTGACTGCCTGAGTGGGGCCAGGAACTGCCGATAATAACTTGATCACAGGAAAATCATTTATTGTGACACGATCGCCGATTGGAACCCGATAAACCGATGCTTGTCTTGGGGAGAGATTCTCCCCCACTCGGCATTAACTTGTTGTCATGCTGTTTGATTGCCTTGCCTATTTTTTCTTTTTTGATAATATCTCTGTGGGACCTAATTGTTGAGAGATAAAGTACACACGGTTCCGCGAATTTTATGATTTTGTTATTTGGGTACCATAATCTCAATGAGTAGAGCATTTCCTCATCTACTTTGTTGTCATCTGTGTTATGAGTAATTATAAGATAAAAGTGAGTTTCATTTGTATTCGCAATTTTGTAGCTCTCTGAAGGGGTTTCACCACACTGATGACCGAAACGGAATGGATCTATGGAAGTCAAACGATTATTTTGCTAGTACTTTAAGCACTTGCACTTTCTATTGTTACGATTCTCAGGATTTAAATGGGAATTTATCAATAAAATCAATTTCAATGTGGACTGAATTAAAATCTCCAAAGTAGATTTTGTATATTTTAATATCATCACATTATATTTACATTGTTATTACACAAGGTACTTCAACGTATTCAATTCAGTTCAACAGGATTCTTTCATTTTTCATTTTTCAAAAAACGGCCATCATGTTTACATTGTCATAACTTTCATTCAAATTCTTTTTTTTTGGTAGTTCAAATATTCTTTAGTTTAATGATGGTCGGAATGTTTCCAATCTAAGAAATGAAATATTGATTAGGAATAAATAATATTCAAATAATTTATACGTTTTTCGGGAAAACGATATCATACTTACATTGTCATAACACTCAACCAAAATTTATTTTCTTTGATATATCAAGTCACTTTCATATATTCAATGATGGTTTCCAATCTATGTTCTACGTGATATGTAGAAATTTACTCAATCGAAGAACATGGGAATCTGGAGCAAGCGCGTTCGTTGGCAGTTGATTTCCACGTTGACCTGTGGGTGAGAACTTGCTGTTGCACTATTTCAACCGCTGATGTATGATATTTTACTTTAGTGTGCCTTATGTCGATAACTCATGGAATATCCCTGGGATGGTTCTCACCTACTCTCCCCCTCCTGAGGTCCAAAAATAGTCCGGTTGGTCCAATTGACGTTAGCGAGGTAATGTGGTATGTAAGAAATGAATTTGTTAAATTTTTGTTTATATATAACAATAACTGACTTAAATCTGATTGACAGGATCGGCGCTATGTTTGGTTTTGGCTCTCTGCTTTGTAATGTATTTATTTGCTTCCCGATCGCATTATTTGGACTTAAGAAGTGCATGTATTTCGCGCCCATACCAAATGTGGTAGATAGAATGCTCCTCAGTATTCAGGTGTTTACTCCTAAGACATCTTTTTTTCAGATAAACTGGATTTTAATCTACTTCGCAAACAAATCAGTATATCTGCATGTGGCTCGTATTTTGTTGGGAATATCTGGTGGCACTATGATAGTTTCCTTCCCTATATTTATCGCGGAAGTATCTGATAATAAGTATGTCATTTTAAATAAGGCTGTGATCAATTATTTTAAGTTTTACAAGGTTTTTGTTCGCCAGTCATCGAACGATCAGATAGATATCCATGAAAAAACGCAATTTAAATGCTATAGAATTATTTGGAAAACAATGATTAATACGTACTTATATTATTCTTACATCCACTGAGAATTAGAAAGTCATTTTCTCAGCCATCGTATTAATATTTGTTTTAACGATTTCAAAAATTTATTAATAATAAATATCCCTTTTTCTTCAAGCGTCAGGGGAACTTTAAGTTCTTTTTTTATGCTGACTCTCTGCGGCGGCCTTACTTTAGGGTTTGTAATGGTTTATTACATATCCTACCATGTGCTACCATGTGTCGTCATTCTCCTGCCCATTGCCTTTTTCTGTCTCCTCATTCCTTTTCCGGAGCCGCCACAAGATTTGCTGAAACGGGGTCGTGTGGAAAAGGCCGAGAGGTCCTTTTACTTCTACAAGAATTTGTCTAAGGACCCGACCAAACAAGACGAAAACAAAGAGCAGTTCATAATTTATCGGGACAAAGCTCTAGGCGGCGGCATTCAAGAAAAGGTTAAAATTTCAGATTTCTGTAAGTTACATATTTATGTTATTGGAATATAAAAAACAAAATCATATTAATGTAAATTGAACCAACAAACCACGGTCGCGAATTCATCTTGTGTCATTTGAACCCTAATTCAAACTTATTTTGAAGTCTTAAGCTATCCTTAAAGTTTAAGAAACCGGACACTAATTTGACTTTGAACATAGGTACCAAGGACTCGGCAAAGGCTTTCTCCCTGATCGCTGTCCTGCTGGTGTGCAATCAGATGTCTGGATCTTTTGCCATCTTCAACTACGCGTCGTCCATCTTCGCACAGCTCGGCAGCAGAATGGAACCGAATAAGTGCGCCATTTTTCTGGGTGTCGTGCAGCTTTTTGGCCTAGCCAGCGCCGTAATACTGGTGGATCGAGTGGGTCGCCGATGGCTGTTGATCCCATCGCTGGCCGGGATGGGTCTGGCTGAGCTCGGTGTGGGTCTACTAAAGACCCTTGCCTCGCAGGACTATTTGAATACCCATTTCTGGATTGCGCTGACTTTAATGTGCATTGCGGCTTATACGTCATCGGTGGGTGTGGTGGCTCTGACGTTTGTCATTATCGTCGAACTTCTGCCATTTAAGGTAAGCTTGTGTTTGGGAGGGTGTCGATGGACTTGGCTAAGCAGTCATATCTTGCAGATTCGCGCACCAGGCGTCTCCCTAAGCATGTGCGGACTAAGTTGCGCAGTATTTATGGCCCTCATGACGTATCCCGTGATGATCAACAAGTATGGAGTGCATATCACAATGTTCATGTCGGCAGGTTTCTGCCTTGTGGGCTTGATAGTGCTGGGCGTATTTTTGCCTGAGACCAGAGGAAAGAGTCTGACCCAATAATGGGTTACTAAAACCAGTGCACTTCGATTTCACTTTTTTTTAGATAAGTGACAATCTGCTGCGTTTGGTAAAATCGGTCCTTAGTGACAGATTGCTATCATAATGATAAATTACTTTAACCTAATAATAATAAATGGAAACAACCAAATAGCTGCAAGATAAAAATTGAATGGTGTGCGAATTTCAAGGCCTGTTGAAATAAGCTTCCAACTTAATTGATGTCATAATAATTATTCCCCTGTTGCCATTTTCCGTTGATAAGAAAGCATACAAAAGTGGGATATCTGTTCCATTTTTATCTTCAGCCCCTGGTTAAAATATCATGTTGCCAGAATATACTTTCGTGATCGACATACTGTTAAAAAGTGAAAATTTAAAAAGCATCCATAAAAACTGTAAGCTCTAATTACCTTAATAAAGTAAAATTACTCTTTACAACTATTTTGTTTACAATGGGTTTGTTTATCTTTTTAAACATTGTCATTTGTTCAAATTTACATAGTCCTATTGCTCGCATCCAACAAGTTCAACAGTAAGATTAGCCTTACTATCGAGTGATTTGTTTTTTATAGGCATTTGCTTGCAACAAAATTTACAAACTTCCTTTACCAGACCTCTCCAAACGAGAACGTAGTGCATTAATCAGCGATAAAAAGTTAGTGGCTACTTAGCAATTATCTTATCTGCAACAACTTTATAATCGTCATTATTGTTTACAATCCCGAGAAGATTGGGAAGAAGGCGTATCTAGACGTGATTTCCACTACAAATACGTTTGCCACCCAAAGTGAGAGCTCTCAGTAGGCGCACGACCGCCCAGTGGTTAATTTGTAATCCAAAAGCGGAATACTTTTAGGAATCTTAAGATAAAGCCGCCGAAATGACTTTCGATTCAAGTCAACCGCAGAAGTTAAGTGTTTTTAGTGCGCGCTACCGATGGCAATTTATTGCCACCATGACGGGTGGGTGAGAACTCGGAAGATGGCAGGAATCATTAATGAAAAGTTAATTAATCGCAGTGCACATTATGACGCTGACCCATGGAATTGCCGTGGGATGGTTGTCGCCCTCTCTACGACTCCTCGGTTCCGACGAAAGTCCTCTGGGAGAACCACTGACCATTGTCGAGGCCTCATGGTAAGTTCATTTCCTACGATATGGAAGCACTTTGGTAAAATTTGCCTATATTGTCAGGGTTGGATCACTTATCGGCCTAGGCTCGCTGACTGGCAATATAATATTTGGACTGCTACTCGATCGCTTGGGTCGTAAAATGTGCATGTATTTCCTGGCCATACCTAATATGGTAGATAAAGTTTGAAGGGGTTTCCCAAGAGCTTGAGTCACTTCACCGTGTTGTTTTGTATTCTATAGATGTATTGGATCCTTATCTATTGCGCGCAGGACGTCACGTATCTTTATGCTGGAAGATTTCTGGCGGGAATGTCCGGTGGCGGCTGCTATGTAGTTTTACCCATATTCATAGCGGAGATAGCCGATAATAGGTAAGTGGCGTCATTTTCGAGTGAGGACCAACCACTGGGATTAAAGGTAATCTATTGATTATAGATTATTTCAAGTTTTACGTGCAGCTGATACGCCCAGAATGCGTTATTATATTCAATAGTACGGACACACTTTTGTCTGACTTTCGACGATTAGCTAGAGCTCGGGGAAATATTTGTTATTTATAATGAAGTACTCGGAATTAAAGATTGTCTACATTTGGATTATTCAAGCAGTGAGTCCTCTACTTCACGTAAAGCAATGATTTACTATCTTGGTAATTCAATTTTACTTTCTTGTTCAAATTAACTGAAGTACTGTTGCGGAAGGCAACTTTCATCTTTGTTTTTATTTTTTAAATATTTGATCAGTTTAAAATGTAATACAACAACAATTAATACATAATTTTAACTGTTATTTTATAAAGGATTTTCTGAAATTCAGTTTTGGGGACATCGATCCATGTTGTTAATTTTGTACTATAGCTAGATAGATCCTTATGAAAGCTAAACGAATAAGCCGATTTGTTTCAGAAATAATATTAGATCATCCCAATTCTTCCAGCGTTCGCGGAGCCCTGTCGTCCATGGCCATGATGTACGTAAGCATCGGCATGATCGTGGGCTTTACACTGGCCTCGTACCTCTCGTATTACCTGATGCCGTGCATTATCGTCGCCCTGCCAGTGGTGTTTATGTTGGCAGTTATTGGCTTGTCGGAGACACCACAGTATTTGCTGAGGCATGGGCGCGATGACCAGGCGGAAAAGTCCTTCTACTTCTACAAGAATCTAAAGCCACCTACTACATCTGACAAGGAGGCTTCTAAGCATGACGCGGCTAAAATAGAGTTCGACACCTTTCGGCTTCAGGTTCTTAGCGGTGGTGTCACCGAGAGCATTTCTTGGCGAGATTTCAGTGAGTGAGATATGAAGCTAAATATAGATTAAGTTGTGTGATCATCATATTTAAACAAGTTATATCAAAGATAAAACTGATCAAAGGCAAGTGGTGGGCTATTTCTTCACTCTTGTTCTGATAACAATTATTGCCGATGATTACCATCTCGAAGAATAACAATTTAAAGTACTAAACGCGAGTTTGTTAAAGATGCACAAATGTGATAATCATGAAATATCACGTCCGTAGTATCTTTACTCTTATAAATTATGCTATATATTATTTTCTATCCATGCATAATATTGCATAAGACTATATTTCATGTTATTATTCCTTGTGTACTTTTTCAGTCAACGTTCCGACCCTTAAGATATTCGGCCTGATCTTCGTGCTGATCATCTGCAATCAGCTGTCAGGGAGCTTTGCCATCTTCAACTACACATCGCACATCTTTGCGGAGCTGGGCAACAAACTGGACCCGAACACCTGCACCATTGTGGTGGGAGCTGCCCAGCTGGTGGGCATCTTCAGTGCTGTGGCCCTGGTGGACCGCCTGGGACGTCGTGTCCTGCTGCTCACCTCAATGGGTGGCATGGGCTCCGGTGAGCTGGCCATCGCTCTGCTGAAGTGTTTCGCCTCGCCGGAGTTCCTGGACCAGAATGGCTGGCTGCCCTTGGTAATAATGTGTTTCGTGGCCTGCATTGCATCACTCGGAGTCATAGCCCTGATCTTCATCATAATTATTGAGCTGCTTCCAGCAAAAGTAAGTGCTTTACAAAGAAATCAACTAGAAATAGGGGCTTTGTACCATGAAAGACATTAGAGGGTCTCTGGTTTGTAACACACTGTGTAGTAATTGTAAATACTTTCAGAAATATATTGTCAAATTCAAAAACTAATCTCTTATAGATCTCTAACTAAGAGTAGATTTCTATCTATCTTTCATATAACTTGTTCCTTGCTAATTGCAGATTCGCTCCATTGGCACCTCCTTGAGCATGGCCACCTTCAGCGGATTTATCTTTGTGAGTCTGAAGATCTACCCCACCATGATCTACGATCAGGGCCTGGCTGCCACCATGTTCATGTCGTCGGGCATGTGCCTCTTTGGATTCATTGTCTTGGGACTGTTTCTGCCGGAGACCAAAGGAAAGCTGATGACGCACTGATGACATCAACCTCGGCCCAGCGGCCACGCCACATTGTTGCTTTTGTTGGCGGTGCGAACCCATTGCATAAGCTGCGGGATCCCAAATGCTCCCATGTCAAGAGTACTCACTCAATAATTTGTGGCACAATGGCGGCTACGGCTCATCCTGAACTCTTGAACTTAATTCAATTTTCGAGCACTGCGGTTTTCTTTCGGATTTCTATACATAGAAATTCAATTTCATTTTGCTGGGGGAAAGTCTTGCGGCTGTGATCTCGTGATTGATAAGCGCAAAAATTGTAAATGAATAGGCTTAAGTTATTTATAGTTATTATCTACTTCAATATATTAGTTTGTGATTGTAAAAACTGTAGTTGAGTAAAGATTTATTTTTAAAAGTAAGCTAATAAAGGAAAAAGTGACTAGTCGTTTACAAGACAAGTTAAGCAGCTTACTTTAAGAGTTGTGGGGAAAAATTAATCTCAAAAAGTGCTGAGAATTCGGTGACGTAACTAATTCTTCATAATTCAAAATTGACAAAAAAACACCTTATGGTTGTAGTTGCTTTGTATTTATATTTTTAGAAAGATTATGATGATTTGAGTTAACTAAAAATAAAGAAAACAACATTTTCTTAATTTAATCTTTAAAAATATTCTTTCAAACTGAAAATCATAGTATCTTAAAGATTTTTTCTTTTATATTCCAACTGAGTATTGCTTGTTACTGCATTTTGCAGTGATAAGCCTGCGATGCAACAAGAAAACTCTTTTGCCCAGTCGTTTTCCCTGCGATTACGCTGCGATGCAGAATTAATGAACTCGCAAAAGCGTAGAAGATAAAGCCAGCAACCGAAGATCCAAAGAGCCAAACAATGACTCATAAATTCAACACAATAAAAATTATTTATTTTGCTGCTACGACGGGCACTTTGGAGCGCCGCAAATGCAGTTTCAGTGCAAATTAAGCGGCGCAATGTGAGCGAGGAGAAAAGAAAATTTGATCTCTATGACAGGACACACAAATCTCGCTCAGATCTCCAGAGACGATGTAGACCAAACAAAGCCAAGTCGAAACGAAACGAAGATGGAGCTGGAGCTGGAGTCGCAAAATCCACAGAGGCACTGTCTAATGCTCACATTTTGAGTGGGGGGAGTTTCTTATTTCGGGAGTCCATCCCCATCTCGATCCACATCCACTTACCCGCAGACGTTGCATCAAAATGCAGTTTCATAATTTTCACACGTTTTTCTGTCACTCGGTGGAAATGGGATCTAGAGGGTCTGCTGACAGGCGGAAATTTGTAACCACTCCAACTTAGCTGCACTTATTGCATTTAGGCTAAGTGCAAATGCGGCGGCGGACTGCAATTAGCCGCCGCTGATTAAGTTGATAATCAACCGGGCTGATGGGTCAGCCCTGGATGACTTGTCGGAAGTCGGTGGTCGTGGTCCCACAATACCCAGTGTGTGGGCCCAGGCACTGTTGCAACCACTCCCCAAATCCAGATCGTAAGCCCAGTAAAAAGAGGCCCAAAAGTTGGCCAAACAATCGCGGCTAATGCCAGCAATTGCTCATTGTTGCGATTACGAGCATTTGATTTGTGGCCACACGGATGCCAATTGTTTGGCTTTGATCGGCTGAACTGTCTGAAAGAAAGCAAACAGTCCATTGTCTGCCCTGCATGACTATTAACACGCAATTTTCCATCCGAATCTGACCGAAATGTCATTCCCCGATGTTGCTGGCCCGGCCCACGGTAGCAACTCCGATTTCAACTTCCATAATTCACAATTAGCGCCGAATGCCACTCACCCAGTGATCTCGATCTCCATTGATAATCATACACTTTTCGGGATGACAGCGTCGCAATTGCTGGTGAAATTATTCGTCGATTTATTTATTGTGTCATTGCAAATATTGAATTCATTATTGTTCGGTCGTTGAGTTTCTATTGTGGTTTTCGGCAGTTGATTTCGGTAATTGTGAAAAATTGCTTAAAATGTTTATATGCTCTAATTTTGTGAATGGCGAGCCGGGCTTACTGAATTCCGCATTTCTTTTGATCACGAATATTATACAATCGGCTGGGCGAAGCGCCTTCGTTGGTATGGAATGATTTGGTTCTTTTTTGAGGCGTTTGCATAATGCCTTACTCTGCTGCTCTTTGCCTTATGCAGACTAAAACAGTTTGGTCCAAAGTTGATTGAACTTTGGCAAAATAAATACCTTAATATATGCACAAATGCCTTTTGCATTTTAAACGTGGCTTAACAAAAACACTTAAATATTCATACACATTGGCATACTTCCCCGAAACCTGACTGGTGTGAAAACTTTATGGTAAATAAGGCGGCAAATGAAAAACATGTCTGATAGGGTGGCTGACAGCAGAAGCTACCTGCAAATAGCCGAAAAACCCCACTCTCATATTTCAGCCATGATTAATTGAAAGGTCAAGTGGCGAGTGAAGTGCGTGAAGCGGAGTCAAGATAAATTTATTCAGATATCAAGACATCAAAGGCTAAGAGTTGCATTCGAATATTTTGAGAATGTATAACTCGCGTAGCCTTCTAAAGTAATTGGCAGCAGGACCAAGAAGTAAACAGCAATTTATTAAAGCTTGACAAAATTAATTAAGCCCGACAGAAATTGCATAAAGAATTAAACTTTAATTAGCGCTTCCTGTCAGAGAAGCATTTATAAAACGTCTGCCAATAAAATAATTAATAAGAGTACCTGTGACTACGCCAGCATCGGCTTCAGCATCTTAAAAAGGTCATTAAATCAACCTCAACTGGCGGCAGCCAAGACAAAGCCATCATTTTTTACAGAAGTGCTGGGCTGGCCTTTAAACATGAATTATAAATTTATGTTAGAACATTAATTTAATGCCTCCGCCAGTTGGACGAAATTTCGCCACATCTAAGATTTATGAAATCCAACGAGACCTGGCATAAAATTAGCCACGATCATCAACAACTTAAAGAATGGTCAAGTGTGAGGATAAGATGCGAGGGCAAAAACACCATTTGGGACCGACAAATAAGGGGAGACCTTTCTATTTTCTATAATGCTAATTTATGTTAGCCACGACAGCTTTATTTCTATAATTATTATGTAAGATCGTGCAGACACCATCCACGTAGCAAAAGAAGAAAACCTATTAATTAGGAATTAGCTAAAACATAACAAGTGACGCAACTTTGGGGTATCGAAAAGATTACATAACTACTGACCCTGAAGCTTTTATTGTTGATTTTGGCTTATTCTAAGTGGTAAAGTAAAGTTAAAGTATTTCCTCATCTTAGATGATTGATTACAATGTTTGTGGTAAAAGTTGTATGAGAGGCTTACAAGAAAGTGAGTTTCAAGAATGTTTTTTACTAAAGAGAAGTCGTGTTTTAGCTATAAATTAACTAATAATTATAAACCTTCCTAAGATATTATTAAATATTTATATTAATATTAACATTTTTTAAAATATATAACTTACACGAAATGTAGATGCTAATGTAGCTGCTAAAAAAAAATACAAAATATTTTTACCCAGTTGTTAAATGCAATTGCAAATCTCAAGTGTTAAATGAGGGACAGGTGTTAACTCAAAGAAATCGTTTCAACTTTTTTCACGTGAACCCAGTTAGTTTTCTGCTATCCTCCGCTTTAAGCCATCTCTACACTGGCCTCAAAACAATCGTGCCAGTCCTAGAAAGGCACAAGAAAGGTTCTTGTAGTTAGATTACCCATTGACAACATTGACATGGATTGGAGCAATTATGTTGAGTGCCCCAGTGTCGTTTTGTCTGCTGCTGCCGTTGACAGTGGCAAGTTGTTGTAAATTTGGTTATAAAACAAACACAAATGACATTATTCGCACGAAGGCAGGACGGCAACTTTGCCGAGCTGCCGTTGCAGCTGTTGCAGCACGACTTTCCTTGCATCTTCGCAGCAACTGCCACAGCAACTGCAACTGCAACGGCAACAATCAATTCGACAGCAACGACGACGACATTTGCGCAGGCGCAGGCGCCTTTGTTGCGCTTCAGCCTCAACTTCCGGAAATCACGCTGCTTGTTGTAATAATGTTTTAGCTTTTCTTGGCTTTTTGTACTTTTTACAACCATTTTAGCCAAGGAATGGGTCAGGTCGGCTAGGCAAACGAAATGTGCACGCGAGCGAAATTACAAAATGCGCACAGTTAACGTAAAATTTGTTTGGCTAAAGTTGTTAAATTTTTTCAATTATGCAAAAATAAAATTTTAACACAATCTTGTGGTGGCGGTGGGTGGGATGAAGACGTGAAGGCACGAAGACGATAGCAAAACTAGTTGCTAGTTACAACCCATCGAAATGGGTTATGAAACTGGCCAGGCATTCACCTCCTCGAAAGGGCAAAGCATTGGTTTCAGTAGAAAGGGAGTGGGGAAGCCCCGATTACTGGTCATATCTCATAAAAATGCCCGGATTAAAAAGGTAGCCTTCATTGAAAAATGGCTAAGTCTTTTTTTTTAAATAACAATAAATAAATAAAGTATTTTTATTATAATCATTATGTATTACGTTCGTAGCTTTGCAGTTTTTTATGGATAAGAGTGAAAAAGGAACCATAATTTTCCAACAGACTTATTATTAAACTATTATTTTTATTACAAAAAATATCAGAGGCTCCTTAAATAAGACAACGGATGTCTACAGAAATTACTTTAATTCCAAGAATAGAAGCTTATTCGAGAAGAAAATTCTCCATCAAATGATGCGAAGGATCATTTATGGAGATAGATAATCTAATACGAATTTAATTGATCGCCAACTACCGAAAACCATTCCAAAACGCCTCACACCCCAAATTGACACCTTGATTCGGCCCAGACCCAGGCGCTCCCCAGGTAGATGGCTAATGTCAGACAAGAGTTTGGGCCTTCCTCGGCACTTAAATCATGGCGTAAGGCCGTGGTCTGCAATTTGAAAAATTCTTTTGATTTATATATACGAACGCGCTAGAAAAGCAACCGAAATGGCCTTCCCAAGTGGCAATCAATTCTGGCGGAGCTGCGCGACTCCAGAGCCGAAGATTCGCAACCCAGGTCTGAGCCGGGGGCATGGAACACTCTGCACGTGTTGACTCCCAGTTGAAGTCGATGATTTAGCTCGCCTCGTTACCTCAACGCCATTTGACCCCGCAGCAATTGAGGTAGCCACGATTCGTCGGTAGTCTAGCAGACTGGCACTCGGTAGCAGTGATGACAAGGGTACTTTACTTATACCCAGGGTACCTTCAGGATATTACAGAAAATATTCTTGTCGACTGTATAATGTCCATAAACCCTTTATAAGATTTCTCAAACACATAAGCAAGGAATAATTAAAAATATTTGTTGATTTAGATCAGGAGTTGGCAATCTCCCATTAAGCGGGCATAGGGATCCAGCTCGCTCTCT